CCCCCCCCTTTTACAACCCAAATTTTTTTCACCAAATATTTCAAAAAAACCCCCCCCCCCCCCCCCCCAAAAAAAAAAAATAGCACCAAAGAAACACACTTGTTAAATGTTGTTAGAATCTCATTTAGCGCAGTTATTGATAATTTTATTTCGGGAAACAATTGGCAAAATATTTCTGTCATGTTTCCCTTGAAAACTATATTAAAAACTAATTATGGGAAGTTGGAGTTGGGATTGAATCTGATCATTTAAATGATGTGTTGTAATCGCAACGAGTCTATATGCCAAGTTTCAGCTCGATAGTTTCAAGTGGGTCAATTAGTCACCGGATAGTAATATACAATATTTTAAAAGACGTTCTCCAGCAAAAGGTTCTTATGCAATCATTTAATACTCATGTAATCATATAAAATGACATAAAACAACATGTAATTTCGTTGATTTTGTGAATATCTAACTGTTGAACATTTTAGTTTTTCAGATTTCAATTTGGGCTATTACTATGATGGTATAACATTTTATGATGGCAACAGCACTCAGTCAGGCCTCATAGACAAATACAATGGTGGAAGCACTATCCCCAGGCTGGTACGATCAAAGGGCAATCAAATGTTCATTGTTTTTCAAACATCGGATTATCGTAACCCCAATTTCTCTTATAAAGGTTTTCACGCATCATATATATCCCACGGTAAGTAAAATGTTTAACTTAAATAGTATTTATTTCATTCATATAAGCTAGTGCTGGACTCAAACTGTTATTATGTACTAGCTACATAGGCTGTTCCTAAGTAAATATTAATAAATAAACGGATTAGTAGAGTAAATCTTTATTTAATTATTCATGATTGGTTAGAAAGTGCAGTAAAGATATTAGATATTTCTTCGGATTAATATACTTTTTTTCAGCGCCAATTGGTAATCACAATCACAATATCCTGTATATATATTTGTGTTAACTTATATGAGCAGTAGAGTGGATTTGCTGACACAGTTTGTATTTTGATTGCAAACCGCCCCCAACGCCCCGGCCACTAATTGATTATACTACTTTTTGGAGGTTGAAACTACGATTTTGAGAACTGAAAATTACTCTGAAACTAACCCAGGGGTAAACAAGTCTGTTTTTCGTTTCGGTTATTTATTTCATTTCTTCTTCAAGAACAGCTGCTTTCTTTGATTACGAGTCCATTCCTTCTTGCTTTTTACAAAAAGGGAGAATACTATATGTATCTTGATTTACAGACATAGATAAAATGGCTAAATATTTTTTTCCTAGAATGTAAAGGCTTTAGTTTTGGAGATACTTGCTCCATCCTTAGTCACTGCTCACAAGAACATACAGGACAATTTGATAACTTATTTGGGCGATGTCTGTGCCTCAAGGGATGGAAAGGGGACCTTTGCAAGGAAGACGTTGATGAATGCCTGGGCACTAACAATCAGTTGTGCCCTTTTAATGCAGTTTGTGATAACACTCAAGGTTCTTTCAGGTGTACATGTTTTGATGGCTTCAGATACAATGCAACGACAAATAATTGCGAAGGTATAATATATTTATTAATTAAAGCAATGCATATATTTATTTTATTTCTTATATTAAAAAAAAAATATATATAGTGTTTTTGTTCCTATTGTTTTTCTGGGCTTTGCTTGAAAGAACAAGGTGACTTTTTACATATATATATATATATATATATATATATATATCAGAGATTGTATAGTAATTCTAACACAACAAGCCTATGTACATAGTTTTTATGGAGATAATACAACTAGATCAGGAAAAGAAATTGTGTGTGTGTATATTCACGAACAATTCATGTGTCCTGTATTCAACAGACTCCCCCTCAAACAAATGTGTTCATAAATGTCCGAACATCGTAATGTGTGCTAGACTAGGAAATATGGAAGATAAATGTTATTGTCCTATAGGGACAAAGCTAATTCAAGACCAATGCAATGGTGAGAGAAAATATATTATTTATATAAATTTCTTTCGTTAAATTTATTGTAGATTCTTGTCAACATGTAATTATTACGATTACATTTTTCTCCTTTGGGAGACACATTTCCAATTATAACTTCCAAATACTTTGTTTCTTTTTTTCTGAGTGATTTCCAATTTTAAAATTAAATTAACCTGAGTTTTTCACCCAGTATTTTTAACGCATGTACAAATCTCAAAACTGCCCAGTTGCCCCATATGATTATTTAATTTTTTTTTATTTCAATTCCCAACATTAATTGCATATGTTATACATGAATGAAGGACCCGCGCATTAGTCTGCACAATTTCCTTCACGTCTGTTAGGAAGGCACATATTTCACCAAACTAATACTATATTAATACTTTATTAGCATTGTCGAGAGACCTATGTGCAGCTTTTTCAAATATAAAAGAAACATAAAGATTATTATTATTTTAGCTTGTTCAAACAAAACATACGGTCCAGAGTGCTCCATGTCCTGCAAATGCGACTTCAACAACACAATGTCTTGTGATGGAAGAACTGGTGCCTGCAAGTGTAAACAAGGCTGGACATCTGATAATTGCTCACAAGACGTAGATGAATGCCAATATGATTTGTATAAATGTCCTCAGTATTCTACATGCGTCAACACGATGGGCAGTTACAACTGTTCTTGCTCAAAAGACAATGGATTGGTGCAGAATGGCTCACAAAATTGCGTACCAATAAGTAAGTTACATGACATTTTGTTCTATGTGCAATTTGAAGTCAGATGCCAACATCAAAATACATGTGACATTAAGTCTAGAATCATGATCCCGGGCTGAATGGAACATTTAAATATGTACTCTTGGGTGAAAATTTCATATTTTTCTATAAATTTTAAGCGACCCCCCCTCGCCCCACATTTTCCATTTTTCCTGATATTAGCAACTTTGTAAAAATTGAATAGTTACACTATCAAAATCAAAACTAGGTTGTTTTAAGAACAAAAATCGATTGTGTTAGATTTATAATATATATTTGTATATCAAGAACATACGCCATAGAATTTGTTTGAAAAAGCGCAAATGCTGATTATCACAACTTCCTATTAGTTTAAGCCATTGCTTTTGGGGTTTATGACGATGATCAGCTATAAATTTCTTGACGGGAATTTACCGACCAACATGTTTCTGTCAAATATGTAGAAAATATGTAAATGGAATAAATATAATATAAATACGCACGTGTATATAAAGTCTAAAAAAAAAAATCAATCCTATGGTTTTCTTCGTGCATTTGTTTTTGAAAAGAAAACTAGAAAAATGTATAGATCTGGTCAAAACATTAAAGACTACGTATTAAATTGATTTAAACTATTAATACTATTTTTCCACTAAAACTTACTTACCTGAACTATGCAGCATTGAGTTTCTACACTTTGTCTCTCTAAACATAGATCATGGATTCTTAACATTTTTGCAGGACTTCATCCTCAACCCTGAAAGAAATTTTGTAATCAAATAAATAAATATGAACATTTATTAGTAATGATAGTTTTCCATTTTGAATTAACTTGATTGAAACAACATCTTCTGACATGGCCTTTTGCTTGCCCAGGAGCTGCCGGTATATACGATATTTAGACCTATACTGCACTTGAAACAGTAAAAATGAATTTTACTTTGAGATAGAAGAACTTGAAAACTGTCTGGAAAAAAAGAATTTAGATGTTATTTAAGTAATTTACATCAGTTGTACTCAAAGTCTGGCAACGGGTCAAACATGACAAGTGAAGCCCTTTTAACTGATCCACAGAAGAATCCCTAAATAGTAATAATAATTATTTTTTTAGCAGCCTGAAAATGTTCATGTGTAGTGCTAATTAAAAAGTAAACTTGTAGATGAACTGATAGCACAGAAAACAAAAGAATGGATGAACTCGGTGATTTTTAATGATATTTTTAGACAAAGTAATTGCACAATTATGAGAAAATATTAATAATTTCATCTGTTTGTTTGTGAGTCTATTAATAAAGCAGTGTCTTTTCCAAAAACTAAAAGTTCACTTTTTAAATGGGAAATAATAAACTGAAAGATATGCGCCGACTGTAATTTGTTAATTCAATTTCCTAACCATAACTAGGAAGAATATAACATATTTTCTTTAATGTCAGAATGATTTTTCCGCAAATAAACTGGTCTCTTGACAACTGATGCCATTCGTCTTTAGGTAGTATAAATGAACATTATATTACTCACCCATTGTCTAGTACGTACTTCCATTTTAATGGTAAAAATACACCATGGTGCCTTATGGATGCTATGGCATTGTGACGAGTTCAGTTGTCGAGTTGGCGTGTAGTCAATTGGAGATTTTCCAAGTTAGTTGGTTCCAGCCCTTCATTTATATTCAATACCTTATTATGGCTCTAATGTCAAAAATTTGAAGTACTCCTCATGTACATGTATTGTAGAATTTAACAATTTATTATTAATGTTCCAGCTTGCAGCTTCTACATGACGAATTCTTCTGGCGTTATAACAAGTCCAAACTACCCTAACACCTACTACAGGACAACTCTGTGTACCTGGAATATCGAAGTTGCAGAAGGAGATGTTATATCCCTAAGGTATTCACAGAATACCCTAACCATGAACTACCAAGATTTGTCTCTTTATTATTATTATGCGATCTACTGCAACTTTTTTGTTGGAAAAATTAAACCCCATAAAATTTAACATAGAAGTAGTATATAAATATGAATCCAAAAACTTTTGCTAAATTAAAAAAAATATTTTAGTTAGCAAAACAAAAAAAATAATAAAATGAGTCGTTGAATGATCAATGGAGCACAAATTTAAAAAAATAAATGAAACCATCAACTTTAAATGCAGAGGGCTTTACGCCGAGAAGTGAAAAGAGGCCTTTAAATGTCAAACAACTGCTTTTTAAAAAAAAATTGAATGCTAAATAAATATTTGAAGAGATTATACATTTGCATATTTTAGTAACAATCACATAAAATGTACATTCTGCATAGTTATAATCCTTTCACAAGACATTCTTTAAACAGAGAATGGATGTTTTGGGGGTTTTTAATCTATGATTTTTTTTTTTAATCAACACTTCTGATATATTTGAGAAGCATTCCTCCACAGCTGAACATTTTTTTCACGCCCCTGAACTATGTTAATATTTTAATGACCCACCCGCTTTTACAACGCAGATTTATTTCACCAACTATTTCTAAAAAACCTACCCCCCCCCCCCACAAAAAAAAAAAAAAAAAAAAAAAAAAA